GAATCTTTAAATATCATAAGTATACGATATAATAAGACATCTTCATCAACAGTCTTTACGTAATATATTTCAATTTTCTTGATGTTTTCCATATACAATTCATCTTTCTGATTAGGCATTAAACTTTAAAATGTAAGAATTATTCTAATATTGCATTTCAACAGGGAATGCTTCGTGTCAGTCTTGACCTTGGTCTGACCTCTATATGAAAGCTTTGTGTTTCGAGGTATGTGATGAATGGCTCTCTGGCTTTCCATTAAATTCAGTGCTACTGGTTGTCAACAGTGATTCTCAAAAGCGATAGCAATATAGTTAAAATATCAGAGATATTCTATAGTATTTTTTCCATCTTAGTAAATCTGGAAATAGTTCTTAGGCAATTTTCACTATCTGCATTGCCTTTGCAGTGAATGAGGGAACCAATAAAGTATGGAAATATAACTGCCAAAACATACATTGACTTATTTTACCTTCTTGTGCCAGAAATAGGGTGAATTTTTCTTTGGAAGACCTATTTGATTTACATTGTTGAATAGTGTTCTCAGTTTGAAGGATTTATAACTTATTTACCCAATTTAAGCTCCGTAAGGCCAGAACTTCTATCCCTATGCCAGGGTCAGACAATAGTAGATACTCAATATTCATTGGTTTAAATTTTGATCAAATTGAATTAAATTTAATTTAAATCAGAGATGAAAGAATAATGATAAAAAAGAAACTATGAGCCCCTTCTTTCATCTTTCTCTGATCTGGCCTAGTATCCGGCACATAGTAGGCTCTCAATAAATGTTTGTTGAATGAATGAAAATCAGGAAATTAAAATAATGACCTGTTACTGACTCTAATGTCTTTTGGCTAATTGTACATAAAATACTCATGTTCATTTAGAAAGATTGTACCAGTAACACCCCAAACCTGCTGACTGTTTTTCCCTATTTACCTTTAACATGTTCAATTTTCCAACTTCTGAGAATGCTTCCTCACTCTAAATTTATCTACCACAAGTTATTCAGACATGTTTATTTTTATGGGACACTTGTGAAAAGTTGGTGAATTATTGATTTATCTATAAAACACATGCTAGAAAGGTAATCTTCAACCTAATTTA